TGAGAGACCATCTGATATTTTGATGTGAAATATTGTTGTAAGAATAACGCAGAAAGTCAAAATGGCCACGAACGTTAGCACGCCGCGCAGCAAAGGGTTGTGAGACCGCATGGTGGTATCATCAAGCCGCTGTGATATCGAGATGAAAGAGAGGCAGGTAGTTACAAGTGACGGGGCGAATAAAGTAAGTCAAGCGGCCATAGCTCGTATGATATACGGGAGAGCCAGTTGGTGCTGGTCATACAAACCCACATCGTATTCCGTTTCGTCATAACACCCACCAAACCAAGCCAGACCAAACCAAGGACAAGGTTCTAGGTCAAGGTTCTGGGTCAAGGTTGTTTAGACGCCGCGTGGTCAAAGACTCAAGCTTTCGCCAAGCATGTCAGTTCTGCCCTCTCCCTGTATCCCTTGTACCATCCGATCTAACCGGGCTCCGCAGTTGTCGGCCCTGCTACTGGATCTGCCGTAAAAACGTGAAACCCCTCCCTATCAGACCCTCTCTAGCCTCTGTTTAATCTGAAACATGATTCATACCGTAAAACAACTGCGACAGCATTTCTGCATCAACTACTTAATTATCCTTGCGTCAATCAGTGGCGGTTGGTCAAACCGTAGCCGCTGGAATGTAAGCCCAGCTTCCAAGTTGGGTGCTCAAAATAGAAGCGTGCCCAGTGGAATAACGCCATTGCAACGTGCCAGAAACATTCCCAGACGCCACAAAAAAGGTTTGGTACCCAGCTGAACAGGAGCCCTATTGAATTCCAGATCCACTCGGCGAGTCAAGCCGCGCAAGCTCTTTATTGACATCACTCTCTTCGGCACGGCGATCCGCGGGGACCCCCCATGCAATCAATTATAAACTGCCGACTTGCCGTGGGAAAATCGGAATTCTTGTCATATCTACTGCTACTGTAAGGAGTAAATAGCCCCTTTGATTGCGTGGAACAAAATGTCGCACAATACGGCTGGTGAGACGTATCCTTGAAACCTGGCAGAGGTAATAGATTGGACGGGGCTGAGTTTCTGTGAGTAATGTGATATCCAAGCGATGCAATGCGCCTATTTTTCTTGGCGACACACGATTTGTGACATGGACGTGACGATGGGTCGGACAAAACATTTGCGCCTGTATTTTGCTGGCTTGCGCCGTATTGGAGATGTGCAATATGTGGAAATAACGCGCCGTAAACTGTCATGCAATTCAATCTGCTGGCTCAATGACGTGCATCCAATGCTTCGGTTTCTCTGCCAGAGGCGCATCCAATCTCACGAATTGATAGCTTAAAATAGCTGCAACGTTGGCAACGGCGTTGGTTCTGTCACTTTTAGATAGGGACTTGATCGTGCCACTTGAACGCTAGCCACCGTTGACTATTGACGATGGCTTCGGCTAATGCCCAATACAGAATGACAGCCGCCGCTTCAAGACCCCTATCTATCAAGAATCATGCTCAGCCTTCAATGATGCAGCTTCAACATCCAACATTCTGCAACGTTGTTCTCCAGATCTGACAGACCGGGGATTTCCTCATGCATCACCTGTCAACGTCGCAACCGGACAATTCGAACACGATAAAGTCAGCGCTAGTATCTTTCAAGCCGCGTCGGCTATCCCGTTGCGGCTGCAAGCGTTTTTGAAGGTTTTGCTTAGGGTCTTGGCAATAAACCGAGACTGGGACCAGGGTGAGCTTTATTTTTATTTTTATTTCTATTTGACTTAGCATTTGTGACTTGCAGTCTCGTAAGGCAGGATACGAGAAAGCACGGATTGTTTCCGTGGTGTTCTGACTGATTGATTGTCAGCAGTTCGTATACGAGCATCACGGGTTGAAAACGTGAGATTCGGTGACGAGACACCCAATCTGGGGAAGGACTCGCTTGCACTCCCCGAGCAAAAGGATTCAGCTGAACTGTACTGATCCATGATCAGATCATCACATCAGATCATCATAGTGAGGATGAAGGGCAAAAAGGATGAATTCGGAAAAAAGAAGCGGATAATGGTGGATTTAAACCACCTATCTTGGACGAACAGGGAATCGAACCCTGGACCACTCCCAGAAGAACATCTCTTGGAAGAGAACATGCTAAGGGAGTATTATACCACTAAACCATTCGCCCGCAACGACTTATGATTGGTTGAGAATGTGTGGGCAATTCCAAAACATGTACACTATCTGCCAATAAACGCCATCATTAGCAACGGGTTAATATCATTGACTTCTCTTAGCAGGAGCAAAGACTAGCAGGAGCAAAGAGAACAATTTAATTCAGCGTTTTATAACAAATCTTTCACGGTTCGTTAACCCTCATGAGGTGCTGTAGGGGGCCAGGATACCAGAGTACAAACTTCCCGGCAGGTTCAGGGTAAGCTCGCCAGAATCAATTTGGTCTGTCTAGCCGATATATCATTTTGGCAGTATTGAAATACGCCTCGTACTCAATATCATCCTCTGTATCGTCTAAATCAAAATGATAATGGCCTCCAGCATTTTTCCCGTCTGCGGCATAGCAGTGCGTATGCTCGATCCGTAAACCCATCCTTCCTCCGGGATCAGCTGAATGCAACACCGATAGACAAAGTATTGGTGCGTCGAAGTCGTGGAAGGTCAGCCAACTATCGACATCTTTGCGACTATCAAATGGCAAGTCTTTCTCTGCTGGGAAGTCAGGCATGATATGGTATTTTGCCTTGCCCTTCTTAACCAAGAAGAGTCCACCAAGACTGACGGTCTGCGAGTCGCCATATGCTTGATGGAGAGCTTTTCTGATACACTCTGAGAAGCTTCTTTCAGAGCCTGTACTGTTTCGAGCTGTGATTTTGATAACTGGTCCTGGACTGCCTGAGGAGCCGAACAAGTTGATCATCAAGGCGCAGTCCAAGGAAGGACTCTTGTCGACATGGACAGCGCTTGTCTCCTTGTCAATCTTTGCATAACGACTCTCATTCTTGGCATCCTCAAAGCTGCCTTGCCAGCCAATATTTGGCGCAAGTTCGCAGTTCTGCCCGATGACGGGATGAGGTCCTGCGCCGGCACCGAGTAATCCCCCCTTCGCAGGATCCATATCCATGGCCTCCGCAAGCGCAGTCATGGACCAAACACAATCCATTTTTGGGCGCGGGAACAAATTCGGTTGACCTCCTACATCTGCTATCTTCTCATCTCCTGATAGCCCCTCGGTCGCTAGATGATAGGGTGCTTGCCGAAGATCCGGGCAGGAAACGACACTCACTGTGGAGTGCTCATAATTGGCTGCCAAGGGTGCTTGAAGTTTAACAGCCACTTCCTCCAAGCTAGGCGGAGATAAGGGATACTTTTCGATGCGCATGGTTAACTTTGTGGTTTATGTTGATCTGCGTAAAGATGAAATGATAATGCCACTCCGGAAATGGCGACATCACAGCCTCACAAAATCAAGGCGGGGTCCGCGGAGCATAAACTCAAAATCTGTTCCAAGTAAAAAGATAAACTCAAAGTAAGTAGAGCATTACGTGTCCACAACTTTATTCTTCCATCCACTGAACAGTGCACGTAAGATAGATAGATGCAAGGTTTAAAGGTACCAAAGAACAAAAATGCAAAAATGAAAGCCTCGCTAACGCTCGCAATCGAATATAGGAACAGCCCGATGCGGGGGTCGAACCCGCAACCTTGAGATCGCGTACTCGTAAGAGTCTCACGCTCTACCGATTGAGCTAACCGGGCGTGGCTCTTGATGATGTCTGATCAATCTTCAGAATAGGGACTATGCAGTCTGAACTTACTTACAGTGACATTCACGGCTTGGACCATTCAAAGGACATATTGAGGCTTAAATCATAAGAGTGCCGTAGTAATGCTGTTGTTCTTTTCATGTTCCTTCTTATTCACAGATAAAAAAACTAGCTTGCGATGCTTAAATCTGGTTGGTGCTAGTCGCCCAAACGGCCTCAGCTTCATCATCCTCGCCCTTGTACAAGACTACATTTCCATCATCCTGCACAACCAGATAGACCTCGTCACCCTGGCCACAAGTATCAGAAGCCCAAACAGCTTCGTCGTCATGGGTACTAAGTAACTAATCAGCTTCTGCAATACCACTCCACAGGTTAAGATACTTACTACAAGACAAAGTTGCCATCATCTTGAAGATGGATGCCCTTGATGTCGTCGCGCTGGTCTTCCGTGTTCTGCCACACAAATTCGCCTTCCCAGTAGATGGCAATCTTGCCGTCTTCTTGCATCCTGAATTCGTTGCTGCCGCTGTCGCTGGTAAGGCTGTCGCCTGGGTACAGCCAGTTGTCGTTGTCGAGTCTGCCCATTTTGAAGGGTTTTGAGAGTAAAGAAGTTGGTTGATGGAGAAAGAGAAGAAGTGTGCAAGTGTGATGATGTGTGTTGTTTTGAATAACTTCAGAGCAGAGAACGATGTCTTTATATACAACTTATCCCTCATTCCACCCCGCACTCTCCTCCTCTTTCATTCTCTGAGGCTGTGTTCGCTTCCGAAACATGCATATGTGCCAAGATTCAAAGTCGGATGATGAAGTTATCTTCACGAGAGGCCTCACAAGCGCCAAGCTCACTACAACGCGGAGGCGTCGGCTATCTGATCACTCCCGCCCGCATTTTACCGCCTTGGCCTCCCGCATATTATGGGGTAAATCCTGGCCAAGAACGGAAACGGCATCTTTTCTCCCAGCGGTTATGCACGTCCCAGCCTGGGCGAAATAAACAAGAGGCTTGGGTTACGAAACTGTGTCCCTTATTGCGCCACGTCGCCTGCATATTACAGATCAGCACACTCCGTCGGATTTACTGGTCGTCAGAGAGTCTTAGCGCTGACATGTGAGTGGACCGGGATACTCGGCTTGCGCGTACGAGATGTCCAATGCATGGCTGGCTTGGCCCTTGAGAAGCGAATTGCCTCATGCATCGATTCAACAGCCTGTGATATGAATATCTGCCTACTGGAGCTATATCTGGAACGAACTTCTGACATAAATGTCATCCTTTCAGCTAAGTCTTTGTAGCCTTGCGCTCTAAAAGTAGAATCACAATAACTGTGAGGAGAACCAGCAGGATAGAAAGAGCAGCATAAATGCCTCCTAAATATGAAGAATTCAGTATCTCGCTATCAAATATCGCCTGTGAAGAGGTGAGTGGATGTTTTGGGACATTTTCTCCTGTGTTTCAAGTGTAAAACCTTACTGCTAGAAAGGATAATGGGAGAAAGACCGTCGCAATCTCAGCTAATAACTTAATTGTCTTCGAATCCTGATGCCCGCTCGTAGCGACTTGTACCAATGCTTTTACATCATCATGTACCTGGAGAGATGTTGAAAGGGTTCCATGAACTCCAGTCTGGATTTGTGCTAGAGTGGCGTGAAGCCTTTCCTCCCCTCTAGCGGAGAGAATGGTCGAGATCTACGTCAATGGTCAGCTTTCTTATGAGAAATGTATGGCAAGAGAGAGCTTACAATCTGAGGAATTCTCTCAGCGCTCTTTTGCATGGAATTCACAGCCTTTAAATGATTCCTGATCTCCATGTGCTTGAGCTGAAAAGCACTGGCGACGTCGCAGCTGCAGCAGTCCGTCTTCTTGTTGCTAATCCCTGCATGCAGTCTTTTAAGCGTTAACAAAACGTTTACCTGGCTTTCCAAAACCGCCCTAGAAGTTTCTATAGTGTTACATAAGTCACTGGCCTTTGATACATCTTGGAGCAAGAGACTCGAAGCATTGGAAGACTTTCCATCTGCAAAAGATGGCCTCATCTTTTGTTCCTATATGCACAGTTAACCTTTTCATAGACGCTCTGCCACCGGGTCTCATGAAGTTACTTACCAAGAGTATTAACTTATGCCGCATGTGCTCAATGTACGCACCCCAATTTCTCGTAGTCATGGACAGTATCACGAGGTGGCCAAGGAGAACGAATGTCGCGCAGCATCCTCCTTCCGTGCTACCATGGGCATCCAAAAACCGCCCAAACCGTGGTCGAAGATATTTGGAGACGCTTATAACAATCCACACGCATTGGGTAGTTAGCATCTGCTGGTAAACCCCTGCTTGACGAAGTGACCATGGATTGCCTCTTCCTCGCCCATTTAGCTCATAGTAGCGGATGTTATAGCCAATTTCTAGTATATTCTTGCATCAGTCAATTGTCTTGCATTACCTTGGTCTTCAAACAACTGACCAAAGTCCTCCATGGTGTGAAGCTGCAAATGTACGAAATCATGGGCTCGCTGGTAGTCACTGATCTTTGCTCCGAATCCGTGGACAATGTCCAAGAATGGCGTAAACACACGGTGCTCGGCCAAAAGCCTTCGAAATGCAGTCTCAGTAATCTCAAGTTGTCCCCAAGAGAATGCAGGTTGTACCCAGCTGTGTAAGTAAGTGTATGTTGCTACGTGGGATGCGTATAACCTACAATACCTTGCCCTGCCCTTCTGAGACAACTTCTGACCCTCCACCCCAAGATGTGTTTTCTAAATCCTCGCTTGAAACGAATTGGCACTGCACACCTAGCGAAGATCGGTATTAGGAACGGTATTTACAGTTGAGAGCAGCAAGTGACAGATGAAACAAGCTTACTATCGCCACGACCACCAAGATACATATTCATTCCCCCACCAGTTACTTGGAATAGATCTGATGAGTTTTCCACGAGCATTTCTTGATACAGGGCCGGGTCTTGTCCCGGGGGCACGTAGCACTTGGCATCAAGCGGGTACTGAACATAGGATGTGGCCTTTGAAGGATTACTCATATTGGTTTGACCTATTCGGACACGCCATATAGTTGGTAATATAAGCAAAGTGAAGGTTACACAAAGACGCACAAATATTTGAACCGCAAAACGGGGTCTCGACGGTGCATATGGATAAATTGAATGTCAATGTGAATTACATGATGTGATTTAAATTGTTCACTGCCCCCGTCGGGCACCGAGTGGCCAGGTGATTCTAGACCATGCAGGACAATTGCCTTATCAGGCCAGTTTCAAGCCTCGTTATGCGGGCACCAGTCACAACAAAATCATTGGTCTCTGCATCAATAACAACATTTGCTGCCTAACTGCGGGCACCAGTCAGAGGAAGATCATTCATCTCACTGCATCAATAGAATCGTTTGCTACCTAACTGCAGGTACCAGTTGCATGGACTGTCTAGACTGTTTTGGTGGTACGCCATGAATCAAGGCATCAGGCGCTCAACATAATTTCTTTTGATTGACCTGCATATCACATTTGTGTTATCACTAGCTGTAGACACAAAACATTTAAGTCGGCTGAGGGAACCAGTTCCGACCTACAATTCCTTACACCCCCTACAGCACTTCAATGTTGACACAGTCGATCTCCAATCGATACATTAAGTTAGAGGCCCTTCGAGGCCTATTAGAGGGGAGGTTTGGTTCAGGCAACTTTACGATCAGGGTAAATAACATGACGTCACTTACGAGAGTCTCGGTAGGCGGCTCTACTAACCTTGAATAGGAGGAGGACGAAAGCTATGAGATTGCTGTTCCAAGCCTTCTGTCAGAGGCCAGTCTTTAATGGGGTCCAGAAGCGTACTTGCTAATAATTCATTAGTCAGAAATAAAGTCCATTCAATCAAAGGATCAGTAACTCCAGCACGCTCTATTGACTCGCAGTTCGCCTGTTAGTCTAGGTCCGATACATAAAGCGATGCATACTCGACATCATGAACACTCTAAGAGATGAAATCGAAATCCTTAGGATAAGTAACGAAAATAGCTTAGGCAGAGATTTCGTGCCCGAAGCCAAGCTGTTCATCCTTCTGACCGAGGCCAAGATTCGGGCATGCCTCCGGGAAATGAATATCGCAGATCACGAGAGAGAAGAGCTGGTGCATGCTATTATGTACGGAGCCCGGAGATGCTTTTCAATCCTACTCCTTCTCAATGGCGGAGAGAGAATTACTGGTTTCTTCAAACACGACCTGATGCAGAAATCCAACCCTGACGATAGATTTCCCTACACTACAGAGCCCCTCCAGCGAGCGCTTGGGATTGACTCCTCTCCAGCTTTTATCAAAAGATTCATGAATATCCAGTGGTGCTTCATGGTACCAGTCCTGAGATCACACTCTATTCTACGGGAACTAGACAAATCCACAGTATTGCCGTATGTCCGCGAAAAGCTACTCGGTTCCGGAGCCATGGGTGATGCCTATCTAGTTGACCTCCATCCTGAGTGTCACGAACTGCCTATCATCAAGCACCAGGTATTCTCCTCTGAGGTTATGAGTAGTGTAGTTGAGGCTGACCTGGTTCACTGACAGGTGGTTCGGAAGGAGCTCAAACAGAGCGCCGACGAAGGTATTGAGTCCTTCATGCGCGAACTTAAGAACGTCGCTCTTCTCGCACATCTCAAACATCCCAATATCGTCAAGCTCTACTGCTCCTATGTTCAAGACATGCCTTCAAGACGCTGCAACTTCATCTTCGAAGTGGCAGAAGGGGGGTCTTTGGCAGGACTTCTTGACGGCCGTTATGAAGGACCACAGCTCGAGGCCCATCAGCTTCTATGGGGGCTTGCAGACCTGGCATCAGCTGTCGACGCTGTCCATAACTTCGTTTCAGATACATTGGATCTTGAGTTAACCGGCTGCCATCATGACCTGAAGCCCCAAAATATCCTCATCCAAGGCGAGACACTGGTTCTAATCGACTTTGGTCTTTCAACCTTCAGAAACCCCAACGAGGACTCTCTGACATTGTTCAAAGAGACTAGAGGTTCTTATATCGCGCCGGAGTGCCAGAGCTCCATTGAGGGACGTGTCAAGTCCCACAAAGTGGGTAGAGCAAGCGATATCTGGTCTTTTGGCTGCGTTCTGAGTGAAGTCTTTACGTTTCTTATTTGTGGCTCTGCCGGGGTCCAACAGTTCCGCAACAAGCGAGTCATCTTATTTACACAGGGGATCGAATGGTCACGATTTCACGTTGGACCAGGGAGGTCTAACCCAGCTGTCAGTCAGTGGCTTCGGTATCTTGAGGAAAAAGGATCCTAAGAATCATGGACTGGGCACTTGATCAAGCTCATCCGCTGGACTTTGACATTGGACCCAAAACAAAGACCTAAGTCGAGCCAGGTGCTACAAACAATGTCTTGGATTGCTACAATTGCTCTCTCTGAGTTTGTATCCCGTAGTTGGGAGGGGGTCTGCCGCAGCATGCCCTCAAGCAAGCTTTGCACATTGGAGAGCTATCGCTTCAGAAGCTGGTCGCATACGTTGACACAACTATCAAGTGCTCTTGAGGACCCAGGCGTTGATTTTAAGTCGATCCAGAAGACGTTGAAAGGCGAGCAGGACATTCTGAACTCCGTTCGAGGCTGCGACTACACAACAAACATTCCTTTGCTACGCACGATAAGCAAGCTGAATACGTCTCTGGTCCAGGCACTACCTTTCGAGTACAAAACTCAGTTTAAAAGGCATCTAGTAGACCAAATCCTGCAAACATCGGATATAAACGAACTGGGCAATATGTCTACTACTTTGAAAGAGGGTCCCGATCATGACGTTGGGACTTTGATAGCCATGCAGCGTCTCATAGTCCTTGCCGACCAAGGTAATCTGACAGACCATAAGGGTCTGGTGCTAGACGAAGCAGCGGTCACAATCGGAGCAGACCTAGGCATCCAGTCCCTTGCGAGACTTCAAGGAGAGTACAAGGACGTCATAGTTGAATGGCTCAGATACGATGGCTCGTGGGCCGACAAATCAGTTTCTTCGCGACTACTAAAGCGTTTGTCCACAATGGCTAGTTTACTCAGCGACAAGGCCACACAAAGGCTTACAGGCACACTGCAATGCCAGGGGTACTTCCATGAACCTGCACGAAACTGCTTCGGCTTAGTTTATATGATCCCTACAACTGATCTCACGCCTCGGACCCTTTACCAGCTGATCGACGAGATGGTGCCTGAAAAGAAGAAGCCTCGTTTCAGACCGCCACTGGAATATCGCTTCAGGCTCGCGTTGGATCTGTGTCGATCTGTTCAAGCACTCCACAAGATCAACTGGCTGCACCGAAACATCCACTCCATGAACGTCATTTGCCTCTCGCCGCCTGGTGTCAGAGATGCTGAGGCCGCCCAGGATATGCGACTTATGGGCCTTGGTGCTAGCAGGGAGGACACCCACGACTCTTTCACGCAAGGCCACGATGAAGAGGCGCAGCTTCGCAATTACCAACATCCATCTTATCTTGGCGGAGCACGCTATCAAGTGGAGTTTGATTGCTACTCTCTAGGTCTGGTTTTGCTTGAGATAGGTCTATGGTCAACACTGAGCCGGCTGGGGAAGGGGTTCAAAGGCATGGATGATGAAGCTTTCAGACGGAACATCATTCAGAAGTATGTGACCCAGCTTGAAATGACCATGGGGTCCAATTATATGGAAGCTGTGCGCTGGTGCATTGAGTGTGAACCTGTATCAATCCCTCAGCAAGGGTCTCAATCTCAGAGCTTGGAAGAGATGGTCATGGGCCGTTTGCACATACTCTGAGGCTGATAAGTTGCGATCATTGGATCTGAGAAGACTTGAGAAAGTAGATATGACATGTGATTTAGTCAGACATATATACTCGTTACTTCGTTAATGGAGAAGTGCAGCGAAGTGACCGCGGTTGGTGAGGAACAAACAACGCGTGAACATTTCTAGCTTCGAGTTATAGAAACACCTAGAGATCTGTTTTTTGAATTGAAATCGGACGTATGTCATTTGTCAGGACAGAATAAGCTGAAAAAAGAGGCACACAATGGCGCTTTAGTCATAAGAATCACTGACTTCGGTCACGCCACTGACATGAATTACACCAAAGGGACGAAATGGAATGACGGTCTGATATATCTTCCCGAGTCGAAACCATGGTCCATCCCTCCGCCCGAATATCACTCCCGAGGGTTTAAGTTCCATGACGCAGCCAAGGCCATGGTCTATTCTCTGGGAGCCTGTTGTTTGTGGTTGCTCCTCTATAATCTCCCCGATAACCCTGGCGGCAATTTCCCAAGTGGCCGGCGAGATGTACCGAATGAACCCCTCTTGCACCTGGCCCAGAATCAATTGCTCTCTAGGACTTATCATACACAAGAGGCCAGGGCGTCGTTAGTCAGTGTCTTCCATTCTAGCTTAACACTAGATGTCGAAGCTCGGGCTGGTAGTGCAACAACGATTTTGGAGCACCTCCAAAAGGCGTTCCAAGCGGAGTTGCCCTTCTCCGATGCAAATATATCCTTGGTATCTACACGCTACAAAATTTTCGACGACAATGACATGTATAATGGTTTTATGAGCTCGGAAATGACTTTCCCAGCCATCAACGTAAGACTTCCATACAAAAATTTCTTATTCTATCCCCTAGACATAACTAACCTATAGCTAAGATATGTACAGCAATGCACTCTTTGAACGAGGTGGATCCCAAAATCAGAGAAGCACTTTTCAACTGCATACGCGAACGTGAAGCGGCTCCAAGAGGTTTCGGAGATTACCACTGGAACTGCCATTGTCTAGAATTGGCGCACTGCTATTATATCGGGTTCGGTACGCGGCGGAATGAAGCCTTGTCGACGGACTGGTTGGAAAAGAGTGGGCTCCATGCCAGATTTGCTGGCGAGCTTGAGGCCCTTCGAAGCCGTGAAAGGCTAGGGTACTTGCCCTGGACGTCTTGGTCAAGGCAAATCTTCTCTGATGTCCAAATGACTTCTTACAATGTTTCGTACTATCTCGGGAGGCGGCCCCTTCGAAAGGTCATCGAGGTCATGCGGAACGAGCTCAGCGACTGGAAAGCGGCTCTAGGCCCTGAGCACTGGATCATCAGGAGTCGCCTTTCCGCAAATTTTCACTTGGAGATAGTGAACGAGCAAAGGTCGGCACTTCAAACCGCAATAGAAGCGCACAATCTAGACTCTTTGCAAAATCAGGTCGATCCTCTCGGTAACTCTACGTTCATGTTGTCCATTGCCTACGAAGCTTGCGGTATGGTAGAAGAGGCAGAGCAAACAGCGATCAAACTTTTGGAGATCTTAGATCAGCAGTCGGATCTCAGCCGTAGAAATACGCCACAGCTCCTAACTATGCGTGCTAGAGCGAAGTCACTACTCGCGAACGCCTGCGAATCAAAGTCTAAGCTCGGCGAGGCGGAGGATCTTAGAAGGGAAAGCTTGAGAGAGCTAACAAGGCTTCTCGGAGAAGAACATCCGCTAGCACTGGAGCAAATGGCATATCTTGCTTCCCTGTTAGGCCCTCGACGAAAGAAGGAAGAATCACGGCAGTTACATGAACGCCTTGAAAAGATTGCAACCTCATCTTGGTCATCGAGTCACGATCTAGCCCTTCTCGCACAGAAGAATCTTCGCCAGGCGAGCAACCACTTCTGGTGGGTTTTGCGCCGAAGTCATCCTGATTTATTTGAGAAGGAGGTGATCGAAGGCTATCAGATGACGGTGGGTAACTACAATATTAATACAATACAGGCCATGCAGAGTGGCGTTTGGCTTTTGTGTCAAGAGTTCCGCTGGGCTGAAGCCCTCGAGCTCATGGAGCACACTCTGAGGCACGCAGCTGTCGCCTTCCGCGACACACCAGCCATACTTCAACTCTATCAAAGAAACGCAAATACCCTCAGATGGATGTGTTTCAGCTACGGGAACAAGTTTGCGATTTGGTTCTTCAAGCTTCGATTCCGATGGGCTATTGGTCCTCCGTTGTCTGTCTTGGTTCGTTTATATGATGCCGAGAAGCTTCACAGTCGATACCAGCATGTCTGGGGACCCTTCTATAAGGTCAAAGCACTCTGGGTAGCAAGAGAGCCATACCATTTCGATCCGTTCAAGGATCCCGATTACAGTGAGCAAGAAAATGCTTATGGCATAGAGGCGGGCGCCGTAGAAGCTCAAAGTTATCCATGGTTTCGTTGGTTTAGTGTCAACCAGCTTCACACCGTGACTGAAAGGTAACTGGTGGTTATACGTATGTAATAGAAATGGCTTTTTGAAGATATGGTATATGAAGCGACTTCGCGAGTTAGACTATTCGAAATAGTACAATAAGCTTCTTTCGAATAAACAACTATAACTTAGTAATGGCATGTATTGATATAATATTTAATAGTTCCCTTTTAGTAAGTACTGCTAACTGGTAGTGGCTGACAGAAGCCACTCGTCTATCGCCGCAAGTGCCCGCCGAGGTAGTCCCTTATAGCTCTTCTCATCATAGGTCTCGTTTAGTATCTGACGCAACATCTTTGCCTTTCTCATCATGGTCCTACTCGTATCAGATGGATTGTTTGTTTCTGCAAAACTTCTTGCCTTGTCTTCTGCCTGCCGCCTTCGTTTCTTGACATCTTCGCTCTCTGCTCCCTCCACAAGGCAAAATTGACAGCGACATTCGAAGTTCCATGTCCTCCGAATGTTTGCATTTCTTGTCTCATAGTCACTCGACTCATCATAGCTATGAGTGATCTCCTCACCAGCTGCAATTCTTCTTGTAGCGCGAAAGATGATGAGATCACCAACGAAATCCTTTTTTGTATTGGGAATACAAGAGTGGTTGATGTAAGACGCCTGTATCCAAAGACCAGTACTGGCGTTGCTGGCATCTTCATCCTCGGTTTGCTGACCCAATCCAAACGCGTTGCGTTGGATGATATCGTGTATCTGGAACGTGTCGATTACAGGTGAACCATCTATTTCCTGCAACTTTCCCCCAAGTCCGTGGTAATCTCCATGTAGGCGAAGTACCTTCTCGACCTGCGACGGATTGTTGAGAAGCTTTTTCACAACAGCTTTGTGCAAACCCGCGGGAAAGACCTTGATGGCAGCGTCTTCTCGAAGATCACACGCCAGCGCTGTGAACGTTTCTACCTCGTGACTCCAGGCCGCACAAAATGCTTTCTCACATAGGATGATCTCGTTTGTTTCGATGTCTCGGGTTGAAAAAAGGCCACGACCAGCTCCAGGGCTATTTTTGATCTCTGTTGGACCATGATACGAAGCTGCGTCGGGTCTGCCTCCCGTCTTGGACAGATTGCTCACAATCTTGCTCATATTGTAGGTACCGTTAGACTCCTCTCGAAGTCTTGCGTCGATTCTTCGTAGATGTAGCTTGGGCTGCTGGTCATCCGGCTGGAGTCTCTCTTGCTGCTCGAAGTAGCCTCGAGCTTTGAGATACTCGCCTTGGGAGTATGCCGCGATACCTGCACGATCATATGCCTTGGCGTCAAGAGACCTAAGATCTTTAGCCTCACCGGTAGTGAGAGAGTCTAAGGCATCCGATATTGCTTCATCAAATCTCTGAAGTTGAATGTTGACATGAGCTCGGTTACGGTGCAGGTCCTTGCGTACAGTCTCGCAATCTTCGCCACTTTTCAGACGCTTCAGACCCTCCGTATACCAGAAATAAGCTTCGGCATAGTTCTTCTTTCTCAGAAGCGCCTCATTTCCCTTCCTCTTGTACTCGTCTGGAGAAACAAAGTCTGGTCTTCCAGAGTACTGTTCCTTGTCTCGCCACGATTCTGGATACTCTGAGATTGCGATAACCATAAGGTCTGACGGGTGATCTATCCGAATTATGCATTCTCCTTGGGAGTTGAGAGTGTAGTATGGCTCTTTGATAACCAAATCGGAAGCTATCTCCAAAGTATTGTTGCCGTACTGCGATGTATGCAGAAAAGCTTCCAGGCGCTCCACCTCATCAGACGGCTGGCATTTGACGATAGCCCAGGAGGATGCCTGAAGGATGGATACGGGTGACACACGGCGCAAAGATAGAAAAAAGCCCCGATGGTGCGTTTCCATTCTCAGGTCCTTGATGGTCATTGGTTGTAGATCTGCAAGTTTGGCTGTACTGGGGAGGTATTGCTTGCCTACCCCGTAAGCTACCATAGTCTCTCGAGGTTTCCTTGGCAGACCGAATCCAAAAGCTGCAGAAGACATCTCTTGCATAAGGGACGTAGAAATAGCCTGCTCGATTAATGATCTGGGATCTGTAGGTTCCCTCGACTGGCCTTTCAGTTCTTCACGTAGCCTTGTGATATCTTTAATTGTGTGTTGGATACGCTCCGACTCTTCAGGCGACATGAAGATGGTGTTATTCGCCATCTTAGTGCAGATGTAAGTTATTGAAGACTGCAGGCTTTTTTTGACGTAAGGTTGACAAGTGAAAACATATGAAGGCTATCATAAGCATGCAGGACAAGACGAAGTCTTGCTGGCTCTTTATTAGTTGCTCAGAGGATTCAATTTGCTTGCGATTGATCTCGATCGAGATAACACGGCTACAATTCAAAATCGAGTGACTCATGCCGACATGTCTGTAGTGTCAGCACTAGATGCCAATTTGTCTCCAACTGTTACCCTTTCTATGCTACCTCGCGGCACACAAGGGGAGCCTTCAACGAGTTTGGTTGCTCATCAAGTGGACTTTGGGGTGAAGGGTTTTCACCGATCGATGTTGAACCAGTCGGAGACCTGAGAATCCGAAATATCCAAATAGATGAACCTTTGACCGGAAGGGACCTTGAGCTGATCATCGCTTTGATAAGCTCTTTAATTCCATGTCTCTGAAGGATCGCGTCTGACTGTACCGGCGGAAATGAACCAATGGGAAGGCTCATTTTCCGAGCGCGCCAATGAAGATGCCGCATGCTCGATGAGACGACACCTCAGTTTAATTCCTCGAATATCAGTCTGGAGATAGCGTCAAGTCAATTGGGCAAAGGTCTATCTTCTGCATAAAGCAATTCGTCTAATCTTGTGTTTTCTACAGGCTTGCATTGATCCATATTATGGTACCGGTCCTGCTTCAACCTCTGTCGAGACTCTTGACAATACTTCACCGACATCAACTATTGTCTTTGAGATTCTGTATCATTTTTGGAATATGATTGTCTTACATAAAAAAAGGCTCTATACACAGAAAGTCAAGTTTAGAGAAGACCCAGGACGGATAGCACGTTTCAAATTCCAAACACCAACTGCCTACCGGATTCTCGATAGGGATCTTCCCAAAAACTATTCAGTTCTCAGCAATCTGTCCAGTGGGGAGCATTATAGCACGATCGAGGGCATATGGTAATCCACGATGACGTCCACGAATCATCATCAGACAGATGACCGCTTTTCCAAAGGTTCCAAACATGCCACATAGTGAGGTGCTCACTGTTGGGTACCCAAGACTCAGTCCAACATTTCCGCTGGCCAGAGAGTTAGCTCCTGTCTCCCATGTCTATCCCACCAAAGCAGCACTTACTATGCAGAGGTAACTTCGAACAAGACTGAAAATACCGAGAAAGCCTAGGGCCAATGTCAAATCATATCCTTGCTAGGACCCTTGGAAGTACACTTACAGGCTCGTTGACATCCGCGATCCTTGTCGACTCAGAAATACAGATACAGAAAGTTCCCAAGAAAATATACCAAAGATCGAAGCCAAGCTGGTTCTTCATATGCGTCAAGAGATAAGTCTTGCTGTGCTTCTCGTCCAGAGACTTTTCTTCTTCCCAAAGACCAAGGGACTTTTCTTCATAAGCATTTGACGCGCGGATACTGATTGCGATGGGGAAAACGGCGATGTACATCATGATCAGCAAGCTGAGCTGCACAGCGGGGCTTACGTTCGCAAGATTGAAGCTAGCTGTACCAGTATGGCGCGCTGAGGCAGCCTGGAAGATAGCCGCTGGGATGCGTTGAGAAAGCGGGAGAGAGGCAACTTCGGGATTGGAGAGGTCAAGAACTATTATGAGAAGAATGTCGATGAAGTTGAGAGCGAAGATGATACCGAAAAGAATCCACGTTGGACCGCTAGGGAAGAGCAATGTGTAGCATCGACGAGGATAAGTGAGCAGGAATGCGAGAGACTCCTGTGTAGGTGAGGTTTTTGGTACCAGGTTTGACATGATCCAGATGCTCAGGCGCAGAAAGACAGGATAGAGCGTGTTTCCAGCAAATGCGAGGAAGCTCATTAAGATCATGGGCCACTTGGCGGTGCGGAAGGAGATCATAGAGTCTGGTGTGAGAGTAAAACCTAGGTTATCATACATTGTCTGAGCGGAGTAGATGCCCCTGCGTGAAGAATCTGGTTAGCGAATATATAACCAGCATGTTTCTGGTTACTTACCACCAGGTTTTATCCTGAGCGCTTGACTGTAGAATATCCGCGTATTGCTTATCAGCAGTATGGATCCAGCCAACAAGACACACCACACCAAAGATATGAAGACCAAAGAAATAAACTAGAGGTGATTTTAGCTATCATGTACCCTATGCAGACTTGGAACATGGGCACCTACCCACGACGATCTTCAGCAACAGCTTCAGACTCCTATACTCAATACCACCGAGAATCTCTCGGTCATGTGATGTAAGATTCTTGAACTGCGAGTTCCGTCCGAGGGTAGCTTGGCGTGAGAGGAAAGGGACGTCGTTGATGGCGGGCTGTTGGTTCGAGTATGAGGAAATAGGGCGCGGCTGAGGCTCGCTTTGTGATCCTAGAACCAGGAAGGAAGCTGTTACGCCGGCAACCCGATCCATGGAGCGGAAAGCTGTGACTTTTAAACCATCATCGTTGCTGAAGCGTCGTCGACGACGCATGGAGGAGCTTCCGTTGTTATGAGTTTCGTTGGGTACAGGCTTGATTGCATCATCTAAAACCAATCAATAAAAAAAACAGATACTTACGGTAGAGTCTCTCACCATCATCACTGTCGTCTGGATGCCGCCCGTCTTCATGGCTTCTGGGAGCAATCGGATACCCTTGATTGATCTGTCAGTACTCGTCGAAGACGTGCAAGAGCAACTTACCACGGTCGCGAGCTCGCGGCCCAGGGATGTAGAGGGCATCGTCCTCCTTGTGCCTTTCGGTGGATGGATCAAAGGTGATGGTCGTGGTACGGGCCACTCGCCCGTCTTCGTTTGCAAGTGCAGCATCCTCTTCGATGCAGTCATTTGTCGCTTTAGCCTTACCATTTGACTCATCAGTGGTCTCGGCAGAGTTTTCATTTGTGTCAGCAAGGACCTTTGACTCATGTTGAGCACTCTCAATGTCGACATCAGGTATAGCTGGGCTATCGTGGAGCGCTTGAGGGGCTACAGGTTGCGGTGATAAGTATGGGGTGACGGTTGAACGGATTTGCAAAGTACTCACCAAGACGCTTCAGATATCTCTTGAACCAAAAGAGGCGCACAATAACCACCACAATATTTATGAAGCCCAGGTTAGTCAAGATAGGAATGAAATAAATGTAGAGCTGCTGGTACGTCTTGAGATCCTTGACGTCGATACTGCTCAACATGTCAGAAATCTTCACGAGGAAGAGTACATAACGCACGTGTTCAAGCCAGACTCTGTGGACGCACTGGCACCAAAGAACCAAGCATCTATAGCTGGCATGTTTCCGTGAGGATACAGGATAGGCAGGGCTATCAAGCCCATCAAGATGATGTACGCATCTAGCAGCAAATCAAAGGTTAGCTATTGGGTGGTAGAGTCTGCACGTGGAAGTGGGTAGCATCACAGTGTAATGTGAGAAAGTTGATCGGGGGCCGCAGCATTTTGGGCAAAATAAGCGACTCAGGCAACGTCGTTGCACGGAATAAGGTTACGGACGGTTAAAAGGGTGAGAGAGGAGGGAAAGAAAAGCGCTCTAGACATTTTATACTGAGCAATTTGTTACCCTGCCCCCCTCGGCATGCCTGAAACAGTCAGGCTACTAGACAAGCGCTGTGGGGTCACGCAAGATGCATTTATGCTTATTCCAATACTGCAAGGAGTTGTCGTTGGTAGACATTCCCGGGCTGTCGGGGCATAATACACCTTTACAGCCAAGATCACCACTAAGGCAAGCGAACTAGACGTAGAGTAACGCATATTCATACTGATGAGCTCTTTATTCAGAATGGCAGTATATGCAACAAAAAAAAGACAATTCCAAAGGAGGCCTCAAATTGGATTGACATGTCTGCGGGCGTTGAGATCATAATAGAGGATCGAAAAGCTTGATTCTGTTCAGCACCAACCGGAGCTCGAGACCGCCCTCCCCGTCTTGGCCTTAATTATCGGGGCGTCGGACTCGCCTCCGTCGCTCGGTAGCCAATCGCTGGCTGGATATGGTGGGACAAGTCGATCTGCTCAACAGGTGATGGGATTGAGGTATTTACACTCTCATCCAATCGAACGTGACAAGGTTTCTACAGAGTAGGCATTGCTTGTTCTCGTTCTTTCATTTTACGAGCTGCTCCATCGTTTAGTGACATTGGTGATTTCGACACACCACTTCATCTCTCATCTCGGTGCATACCCTGTAGCTCGATTTGAATCTACGGTTGCTTGGAAAGCTCGTGGGGTCGAGGTTTGGCCAAGTACATGTATAACAGTACTTAGGTCTTGGAAAAGGATAAATGAGGGAGTCTTAGTGAAATTCCATATATTATTGAAGATACTGCACTTCGGGAGCTCATCATGATGGGTTTCTCTACATGTGTAACGAAATAGGAAAAGGACAAGCAAAACATCCCATCCCTACCCACGCCGAGAAAAGAAAGATCAAGAAACAACGAGGCCGATGCAATGCAGGTGTAAATTCTAGGGAACGACTATTGATACGTATGCTATAGACGTCATGCAATTCTCATTTCATGCTCAAACACAAATGGCCTCCACCAATGATCTTTCCTATAACAGTTTGTAGAGAACCCTTCACTCAAGAAGCCTCCGCCTTGCGACCATAGACGTAGCGAACAGTCATGTAAGCATGAACCTTTTTATTCTTGAGGAACTTGCGCATCTCCATGAGGAAGACTTGATACTCGTCCTCGGGCCACTGAAGGATAGTCTTCCAGAGTAGGAGGGTGTAGCCTGGAGTTTGTCAGCAACGAGAGGGGAATGGGAGGTCTGGGGACGTACCTTCGAGATCGTTCTCAAGAGTCGCGCGGACGTAGTTACCGACCGAAGCGAGTTCAGGGTCACGGGGCCAACCACCGATTGGGAACTAAACCATCAGCCTTGCTTCGCGCTTCGCGCTTCTCTCAGTGCAACTCACCTTGTACTCGATGCTCTTGATGTCAGTGAACCCAGCAGCCTGGATGCCCTTCTCCTGCAAATCACCTTCCTGCACGAAGAACGGGTTTCCAAGCGCAGCGCCACCCTCAGTGAAAAGCTTCGCCCAGAGCTTCAAGCAGTCGAGATCATCAGTGGTTCCATCATCACTGCGGATGTGGACGTCTGCTTCGGCGGATTGGATCCAGCCGTCGGGAGCACAGCAGCGGTAAGCTTCCTTGAAGAGAGAAGACCAGTCTTTGATGGCGCCAAAGAGATAGCGGATGTGGATGAAGTCAAAGGTGTTGTTATCCCATGTCCAGCGGAGGGTGGCGTCGTCGATCTCGAACTTGACGTTGGGGGGAACCCAGCTGGGGATGGTGAGTGAGATGATTGGGGAGGGAGGGGGAGGGCGTACTTGGGTTGAATGGGTGAGAGGTCAGAGCCGATGACTTCAGCCTCGGGGTATTCGTCTGCAAAGTCACTAAAGGGTGAGTCGTCTTCATAGTTGAAGGTTGAGATGTCTTACATTGCCCAGATACCTATACCTGATTAGCCAAGTCAGCGTACGATATGCATGCAAGTCTCACCTGTTCCGGTTCCTACATCGAGTACTTTCTAGAGGGTGTGAGCACGTCACAAGACCAATGATACATGCACTCACCTGCACGTTGTCCTTGATAGGGGCGAGGAAGAGCTTTCCACTGAGAAGCTGCGTCAAAGCGTGATGGCTACAGATTGTCAGCGGGGTCGGTCTCTGTAGGGTGTCACGTACTTGATGTCAATGGACGCAGACTGCTGCTCATCGTTGGGAGTAAAGTACTCAGTAGGATGTCTATCACTGTGAAACGTTCGGCCCTGGATAGTGCGATACTCAAGGATGCTAGAGGTGATGGAAGCAGTGGAGCTCGCCCTGCAGACCGGTCAGCAACGGCGAGGTAGTATCAGCAAGGGTCCCATACGCATCATCACCAACAGCCGAGTCGGTCTCACTTTCATCACCATCCTTACAGGCATCAGTAAACGACCGGAATACGTATCGCTATACGAGAAGCGCATTAAACTCACCTGTGGATCAGCAGCGGGAACTAACTCAGGCTGCGGCGCTGGAGCTGACTCAACGGCTGGCGCTAGATCGGACCGAGCCGTAGCAGCAGGAGCAGCAGCTGCTGCAGGAGAAGGAGAAGAGGGCTGTTCGGACATAGTGCAGTGCGTGACCAACAGTATCTGCAAGGGCTCGGTTATGTCTTTGCTTGTGTGTTCTGCGTGTGATGGTGGAATTTGATGCAGACCAACAGCGAAAAAGGGGATTGAGGGGAACCTTTGAGAAGCGAGGCGCGTTTGGTGATACGATAAAGAAACTGGGTTTGGTGGGGCTGGCATGCGGTTTAGAACGAATGCGGTTTGGGCTTGTTTGCTTCTGGGGAGCCAATTGTCGACGGGCAATGTTTGTGTTGTGTTGCATTCGGCGGGGAACAGCTTGGTTCGTAAGCAATGATACAGTCAAGTCAACAATGGCGGGCTGGAAATGCCTTGGACATGTTTGACATTCTATTGGTACACGATAGCAAAGTTTTGGGAGGAATTGTCTCGAATTTCGTCAAGGTCTCCAACGTTGGATCTTATCTCTTATCTCTGTGGCCAGCCAATCAGCAGTAGGCTATGCCAACCATCCTCAAACCAGACCAGTACCATGGCCCAAGTCTTACATATCAAGATTGGTCATTATGTATTCAAAATAATTATTTACCCTCAAGTATAGCATTACTGGTAAGGTTATTGTATTGTCCTGTCGTGTCTGTTGACTTAGGAGATTTATCTTGGTTCTGTGAATTGTTTAATGTATGTCTGGTTGTCTATAAGCCTCACTTGGTCGGCCGTCGTGCGGCTAAACATTGTGGTTTTGAACTTGGCTTTGATCTCAGCTGTAGTTTTTGTTCTGATTCAATTTCACGATCCGTGATAAGACTGAAAGGTTAAAAGAGGCTTCAGAACCATGTCACAAAGGTAAAGAACAATAAACACGTATGGGGAGTATAAGAGTTTGAGATCATTTGGATTTCCCAAAGAGTTGATCATCGACATGAGTACTACCACGGTCCCTTGCGCATGGCCAAGAGCCAAGGCATTATCCTTCTCGAATAAAGTTCAAACCCCCCCACCCAGAAAACAAGGACAATACAGGGCGGCAGATACAACTCCCATCCCAGGCGATAGAGCAACCATGATTTTTATCTGTACTAAGCAGATATCCACCCGCAGAAACAGGCACACAAGCTGAAACGAGAGGCGATTAGCAAAACGAGCTGTGAAACAGGGTTTGAAGTGCTTACATCTTCTTCCAAGAGCCACCAGCAGCGCACCGCCCATTATGTCGAGACGCGGTTACCACCGATCAAGCAGCTCCAGCCGCCAAGATCTGCTCATAGAGATCTTCTCCGAGGATATCCTTAAGTGGCTGGAGCCACTTCCCCGCGCCCTTTTCCTCAACAAAGCGTTGGGCTTGGATTATCTCCAATGTCATCAGTAAAACAACTCCCGCGTTGTTCTGCTCTTCAATGAACTTCTGAAGCTGCGGAAGTGCTTCGGTGAGAAGCTTGTCGATGCCCGCGAATCTCTCCACGGGTTCACCACTTTCGCTGGTGGCGTTTCCCAGCAGTATCTCGTCCGCCCTAGCCATCTCTGTGCAAAAGGTGTCGATCACTAAGTAAGTCATTTAGTTAGTAGTGGCTTCTATTGTCTTGTCTTTCCACCAGTACCCGTACTCACCTGGGAAATCACTGGCGTCGTCAACCCCGACGATCCGGGACATGACGGCTGGTACCTAGCCAAGCACGTCTGTCTCCGGTCGCAGGAGAACACTGGGATCTTGTTCCGCGTCATCTTGGAACTGTGAAAAGTCCTTGAGATCCAGGATCACCTCGTGGAAGGCGCTCTCTGCAGCGTCGAGGGCTGAGAATAGGTTTGCCTCACCCTGTCGGGTTTGAAGTTGTTCCAACTTCAGTAGGCAGGTTTCCCATGCCTTGTGGGTGTGGCTGCCCCTGGCGCGGAGCGTATCGACCATGCCCTGGAGCTGCTGGGGACGAATTTCGATCAGTGGCCGGTCTTCCACGTTCAGTGGGCGTTCGGGTGTGTAGTTGGCACACAAAATTGAATGCAACAGCATTCCGGATAGACGTTCCATAAAAGACATTGTGTGGCGTTGCTTTGAGATGTTAGAGGAGTATTGAAAGAAAAATTCACAAGGACTTAGTTGAGTACAGGAAGTGAATGAAGGTTGCAAAAAGATGAAAGAGGTGGGATGCAGCACTGACTTTTATTCTCTGAACGTGGTGGGGCATGAATGCCCTGATAGATGGGGCTAAATATCTGCCAGTAACATCAGTTCCTCCTGAATTGTAGCGGTGCAAAGGATGGGAGCAGTCCATGCACCTGTCAAGGTAAGAGGATGTACTAAAGATTTGTTTCACTTCACTTTTATTGTTCATTCTACAGCTGACATTTTCAAGCAAACCCTAAAGAACATCAATCATGGCAAGTGCCCCCATGATTGTGCTCTCGTTCATGGCCTAGATCTCTCTTCCACTGGCACTGCCTCATCGATTCCACAAGTACCAAGTCACGATGCCACCGAGAACCAGGAACAGCGCAACAATCCATAAGCCGCATACCGCTGCGACCCCGTACCCCAAAATTCTTGCCCCAAGCGTAACATCTTTGAACATCCCAACCAAGAAAGATGTCAGTACCAGGCACCCAAAGACAAAGAAGCCAATGTTGACCGCTGATAGAAACTTTCCTCGGAAGCTCTCCCTATAGGATTCAACTCGAAGGAATTTACTGTCTAATTCTTTCATAACAGCCACAAGACTCAACAGGATCATGATAATGAGAACGATAGCCGCGAGAAGTACCACCACGCCGAAGAAGTCGTACAGTAGTGTTCCCAGATCTTTGAACCTCGTTTGCATGCTCAGAACACCAGCCGCGAGGGATAAAGGTAGGAATATTGTGGCCAAGAGGGTAAGTTGCTGGACGCCTCTATTCTGGTTGATGTTCCGCGCGAGCTCAAGATATTTCAGATCGTGATCAAGTCGGTCTGAGAAGTTCTGGAGTTGCTCGCTTGCCTCCCGACAGAGCCCTCGCAATTCCATTTCAATGGCCATGAATTTATTCGTATGAAGTGGTGTGTCAACGACCGGAGCCATCGACCTCACAACATCAATCAGAGATTCCGTGGTGGACATCAATTTACGGCCCATCTCTGCAAGGTCTCGATATTCGTACGACCGTTTGATGATTGTCTTCAAGTTCCACTGCCGAAGCTCGGCTTTGCTGGGGTTTGTGGCTGCATCATCTGCGTGGTCGATCTCATCTGCTTCCAAGATGTTGAGGAACGTAATAAAGAGTCTCAGGCATGCGTGGTGGAACAGCAGAAGAAATATCTGCTTCCAGTTATCATTAGAACGAACGATAATGTAAAAGGGATCCAGCAGTTCGAGTTCTATCCTGATTTGTTTTGCGGAATTGAAGTCTGAGAAACCATCATTTGGCCGTTCTCGAGCATATGTACTGCATGTGATGCGAGCTTACGGCGTTAGAAGAAGTCTACTCTATACAGTTCATCAAAGACTTACCGCATTTTTTCTCGTCTTCTTCCCAAACCCTAATGAGTCTTGTGACTTTAACTGGCCATCCAGTCTCATACGTTGTGACATGATACGATCCATCCGGGGAAGCATGTTGCCATTCCTTTGAGAGCTGCATGAACCCTGTGGCGACTGTAAATGTGTCCTTAGGGCCATCAGATCCTTCTTCTCTCACCGTTAGTCGTATACTATGGCTGCTGTGTAAAGGGAGTTGATGTGCCGTCTCGCCTTGGGCTGAGGGTTCTACTTCAGGGTTAACAAGATATCTCCAACACGAGTCTCCTTCAAGTGAAATGTCGCAAACCCCGTACAATCGTGTTCCGCTGGGTCCAAGGCGAACACTATTCTTCCATTTCTGCCTGTCAAGAAGTCCTTCTCTTCCTTTGACGGACTTGCGAACTAATAAAGTGTTTTTGATCAATCCAGCGTAAAGCAAGGCAGCAGCAGCAGGGTCTGCCTGTACGGCGATATCGATGATGCTACTGAGGTATTGTTCCAGTTGAGTAGGAGCCATGATGGGTGGCTAGAGGTAGCCTGTTTGTCCCCTGGGAAATGTATTCAGACTTTTCTAATATGCGTCAGATCTGATAGCTAATGTCCCAATCGCGCAACTTACCGCAATAGGGTTTATACTTAGTTGTCAAGTCACTGGATATTGATGTCATTCTCACATAAAATACTGAGGGTGCGGGGTTTTGGCATTGCGTGAGGCTGAAAGATGCCAAGACCTCGAACCAATCATCGCGAAACGACCCTAGAATGAATGATCTGACGAGTTCTTTTGCACGTAGTTAGTCAATAACATACAGCGCCTTTGGAATTGAAGCTCGAGGTGATCGCGTATTCTTTTACTGGAATCACCCCAAGGACGCGCGGGCACGGGCAAACCAGAAGACACATACATTGTTCTTATGGCCTGTCTTGCAATTAACTATCCAAATTCTCTACTATTCGGCCTTCTGTCCCATCCAAAAGTAATACTTCTCATATGAATGAATATTAACGTTATTCAGATCCTTTCTCGCATCGGCCAGGAAGACCTCGATCTCTTCAGGCCCCAAGATCTTACGCAGGGGCTTGGCTGCCATGGCACCAAACATGTCGCTGACAGCGGTCTTCAGGTACAATCCAATGAGGCGAAGCTTCTTATCCTACCGAAAGTCAGCGCATTCATATCAACTGGCTGGGGTGATTACCTTTGCCCATGTGCCGATGGGGACCTTGAGGACTTTACAGGACACATTGGTGAAGCCAGCTTTCTCAAGGGGTTCACGTAAGTTCTCGCCCGCGCGGAACTTCATGCCGAAACTGGCTACGGCTTGCTCAGCGGTGTCGAAGAATTTGGCGAGAGGGGCGTCGGGGGCTAGGGAGCCATCGTCGCAGTTGGCGCGAGCATCGAGTTCTTGGATTTCGATCCAAGCACCAGGTTTCATATGACTGCAGCATGTGAGATGAGACGCAGATGGGGAGAGGGGTAAGCGTACTCGTGTGCTTGACGAAGAACCTTGACTTCGTCTTTCAGCCAGGGGCTGATGCAGCGCATGTGCACAAAGTCAAAGTCACCGCCGTGCATCCATTCGTCTTCGATGTCATCGACGAGAAACTTGAGGTTTGGGGGAACCCATGAGGGCTGGATAGGACTGAGATCGACTCCTACTACAGATGCGCTAGGGTATTTGTCGGCGACTTGGATGATGAGTCTCGAGGTCTTGCGAAAGAGCGGTCTGGCTTACCGTCGATAGCCCAGATACCAGTTCCGGTTGCGAGATCAATAATCTTGTGTGGGTTTTCCACGATGGGCGAGAAGAACAGGTTGCCACTTGAAATGTCAGTGCCTCGGTCGTTGCATAATCCAATGAATCTTCCCTACTTGGTGAGTTCCAACATCATGGCGTGCTTCATATCGTCGCGGTTCTGCTCCGCATCATCATTGGGGATAGGATATCTACTCGTGTCAGTTTTGAACCGCACTGCGCATTCCCGGTTTCATACGTTCCGTGACGATATTGATGATACTATCTCAATCAGCACATATCTGAGCTCGCCAAGGCGCCCAACTCACCCGTCTTCCATTCTCAAAAGCATGCTGATAAATACTCGTGTTCAGACTTGTCGAACTAGACGACAAAGTCGCTGAGTCGAAGTCCGACGTCTCAAACTCATCCTCCTCCGCCGCCCGCTCATGCGCGGCAATAGGCTCAATCGGTTCCTGGGTCGTAGTCACTGGTTCCGCCATGATCAGAGAGTTGAAGTTTTAGCGTTGCTACCCGAATGTTCCGCGGCGGGAAGCGTAGTAGGTGGACTCGGGTGATTTTCAAGCCCCGCATCCATCGCGCGGAAAATGGCGCAGGACCCTTGACACTTTTGCACAGTGGGACAAGTAAGCAATCAGGCTGATTAAGGAAAGTGACTGCATTTTCATTCGAGAGCTCATTATCTATCCTCTACTGTAGGTATCAAACATAGGAAACAAAGCGTTGCAAAGAAAAGTTCCAAATCATAATCATGCATACTCGATAGTGAATTCCATGCTCTGCCCAGGCACGCATCTTGTGCCTGGCGCAACAGCCATCGCCACTGACCAAGTCCCGGAAGCGCATCGCTGGAAAGCAGTTCCTGTCTTGATGCAGTTCCAGTAGCCCTCAGGCTTGCAAGCTGTACCGGGGGTGATGACACCGGCGGCCGGTTTGGTCGGCGCAGGCTTGATCGAAGTGGTGCTTGTTGTCTTGCGGGTTGTTGACTTGAGGGTCGTCTTGGTCGTCTTCTTGGTGGTTGAAGGAACAGTGATGAAAACACCGCCAGGGCTGTGTGAACATGTTAGCAAGATCAAACAAAGAGAGGAAACCACTTACGCTGTAGACTTTACTGGTGGCTTAGTTGTAGTCGGCTTCTTTGTAGTAGTTGTCTTTGTCGGAGAGGGAGAGGCAGAGGGTAGTTGGACTCCTGGTCCAGCAGCGCACTGACCGACCGGCGGTCCAGTGTTGGTCGAAGTGAGGTCGACGTTAGGTCCCGGGTTAGGAAACATGAGGTCGACCATTTCCGTGGTTTTGCATCCATTTCCGACGTTGGCGACAAACATAGCAGGTCGCTTCTTGAGGGCTGTCTTCGCTGTTCCAGTTCCAGCCTTGACCGTGATAGCCGCGCAGTTCATGTACATCTCGCGATTTCCAATCCTGTTGAACCAGGTCCAAGCGAAAATAGCCTCTCCAGCTGGTGTATCAACCGGGAGAGTAAACTGAAAGTTCGAAGTCGGCGCCTTGGGGCAGTTTCCAATCCACGACTGGATAACGACCCACGTCTTACCGCGATCAAAAGAGAGTGAGACCTGGCAACTGCCGCCTCCGTGGTCTGCACCGCCAGCGATGCTGATACTGTACGACTTGCCAGCCTGCCATGTAGCGGTAGGTGCACCGGCAGCGGTGCCAAAAAGAGAGTTGTATCCCTTACAGGGAAAGTTGCTTCCGTCGGCGTTGAGAGGCGAGGTCATACTGTAGTCGATGTCCTGTCCGGCGTTGGGGTTGTATTTACTCTTGAAGGGGGGAGGATATGCCATCTCCATGTGGGCTTGGGCTAGACCAGCTAGACCCAGCGCTGTAGCGAAGGTGTTGAAGAGCTTCATGGTGAGAAAGGAGAGTTTGGTGTTTGAAGGGGTAGAGAAGAAAGGGAAAAGCCAAGAGGCTGTTGTTATGTATGTAGAAGAATGTGTGATGAGAATGAATCGTTAGGAAAACGGTGAGGCTTTCGATTAGTTTTATACATTTTTGAGGACGTGCAATATTGGTTTTGACGTGCCAAGGTTGAGAGGTCAGTCGAGAACTAGGGAGGATTGCGGGTTCGTGTTAGTGCGGCGGGCTAGAACGTGCTCCCTCCAAGGGAGTGAAGGGGAGACAAACCAGCCGCAGCGAATTTCCAGCGTGTATCACTGTCGTACATTGAATTGAATCCTTCAATGAGCAGTTTCAGTGGGAGCACAAGTTTCAGAGTGGTTGGGAACTGGTCATATGCTGCGTGATTGAGACACGGTGATGGGCGACTCTGCATCACGGGGATAAAGGGATGAGACTTTTTGATGCCATGAGTTATTCAGAATGGCTGGAAGTGAAGCTTACACGATTTTAAACTTGGAATTGAATAATGCGTATCATCATGAGGCTCTGACGTTACGTAGTTGGAGCGCTGTTTTGCTGGCGAACACATTGATCCAGATGGCTAGATATGAGACATGCGTCAGTGACAATGGCCACCAGGGCTGGTAATACCACGGAATGACCGCAGACCTTTTCTACAATGTCTCAGAATGGGGGGAAAACATTCACGGTCAATTGAGAGATCGATTGTAGGGTAGCGCATGTGCTGCGCGATCGCGATCAAGCGCATCTAGTCTCGACAATTGAAGCGATCGCAGAACAGATAGTAATTACCTTTGTTCAATGCAGCCCCGGAAAAAGACACCTTTCAACTATTAATAATGGACCGTACCGGAAAATTTTGTTGCCACTAATATCTTTAATGGTCAAAAAGCTCTGTACGGAAAGAAAAAGTCTTTAGACCAATGCTCTGCCGTTAACCGTTACGCCATCCCATAGTCTGTTCCTGCATTCCCCCAGCGCCACGCGTTACAAGAAAATGCAAGGTCCCGTCCCTGAAAATCGCATTCCTCAAATTCCGGGTTTGGACAAAGATCGGAATTCTGCTGTGGCTGGGCGGCTGCGTAGCGTGCTTGACAGGAATGTGAATGGTTATAAAGCGGGCGGGATCTTCACTGGTTTCGGTCTTCGCCACGGAGAGGATTGGTCTCGACGGTTGGCATTTTGGTGAGAGACATGTGATTGAGTTCTTTTTATAGATATTTTTGACAAGATTGTTTCGTCTCAGTGAGGTTCGGGGGACGCCGTCAAAGACAGTCTCGGGCGCGGCGCTTGGTGTAGCGACCCCAGGAAGTGCTAGACAGGCAACATGTTCGCAAACAAAGACAATGACCTTGTGTACCAATTCTTTATCAATTAGTATCAAATGCGATACATATCTATTTTCACGATCGTGATTTCTTAATGAGCTCGGGTTTTGCGGAATGTCGGCACATCAACGACGTCAATGACTCTGTAACGGGGGCATATCCCCGAAATACAAATTTGTCAGCCGGGGTTGATGCATTAAAACACTTTGATAAACCGTTACATCGCTCGATCAACAAGATGCGCAGCCGTATTTCCGCCATTAGAACTTGAATTCAAGTTACATTGTGGGTATTGATTTGAACTGGTGACGATTTTATCATCGATTCTTGGCGTCACTATGGTCTCCGCCCAGGATTTTCTAGAATGCGACCTACATACACAATTGTGATCGCATCGAGGTTATAACAATGTCGCGCAACCAAGAAATATCGTCTCGGAATTTTTGTTTCTTTCTCTTTGTTAATTTTTAGAAACCGCCGACCATTCTAAATGCAGCCAGATATTCCTTATCGACAATCCCACCAACAAGCTCCAGATGAGTGGAAGCTGGAGCAGGGACTTGAGCCCGCTCGTCTCGGCATTCGCAACCAGAGCAGCATCGAGATCAACACAGAGCCTCATCGTCTCAACCCAAACGACCACGAAGAACTGAAGGCATCTGATATCCCTGAGGACCCGGATCTCGACGTTCAAGATGAGCGGCCCGGCTGGAAAGGCTATGTTGAGTGGGAAGCCTACCCGGAGAAGAAAGCCAAGGCTCACCAGCGCTTTTCGCGCTTCACATTTCCCCCTCCGCCTGAGTTCCAGCTAGAGCCTCTTCCAGCAACAAACCCCGTTCTTGAGGGAAAGAGATGGAAGTTATGGCATAAAGCTATTGGGGGAGTTCTGGATCAGGTGCCTCGAATCAGTTGGGAGACTGTTCTCAAGGTAAGTAGTCCTCCAAGCACTTGGATTTCGAGGGATCGCTGACTTTTGCAGGAAAAACACCCGGAAATGCTTCATCTTCTCGAATTTCCCTACAATGGAGAAGCACCCAAAAGCCTCCTGACCAAAGACTACATCATGCCAAACGAGCTTCATTTCGTTCGAAACCATGGTGGCATTCCCGACATCGAAGCAAGCGCCTACGACATTCGTCTCGATGGGCTCGTCAATAACCCCAAGAAACTCACCCTGGCAGACTTACAAAACGAATCCCTCTTTCCAAGGGTTAGCAAACTCGTGACCATTCAGTGCAGCGGTACTCGGCGCTTCGAGCAAATCGTCGAGTATCCAGGCGAAGGTGACGAAATGATCAACGCCCCCTGGGCAGAAGGCGCTATAGGCACAGCGAAGTGGACAGGCGTCAGTCTGAAGAAAGTCATCAAGTACTGCGGCGGTCTCAAAGATGGTGCCAAGCATCTTGAACTCTACGGCGCGGATACATATTTCAAAGGAGGCCAGTGCATGAATTACGTTGTGTCAGTCCCTTGGTCGAAGGTCAAGGCAAACGAGGTCATGTTGGCTTGGAAGATGAACGACAAGCCATTGCCAAAGATTCACGGTTTTCCGTTACGGGCTGTCGTTTTTGGGTATATTGGGGCGAGGAGTTGCAAGTGGCTTTATCGAATCAAGGCGATTGAGAAACCGAGCCTTGCACCGGTGCAGAGCAGGGAGTATTTGTACTTTCAGCAGCAGACTGGGAAGCATAACCAACTGCCCACGAGTAAGTTCTTTCATCTGTCGCTTGCCTGAGACGATCGTTAACCATGGAGCAGTGGGCATTCAGATCCAGGAGATGCCTGTCAGCAGCGCCATCATGTCCCCTTGGAACAAAGAAGTTGTCGTCCACGATGGCGAGATCGAGGTCAAAGGTAAGTCCCCCACTACGTCTCCCCAAGAAGTCACTGACTCTTCAAGGTTGGGCATACTCAGGCGGAGGCCGCTGGCCCGAACGCGTGGAAATCTCCTCCGACGGCGGCTACGTGTGGTACGCCGTGCCCATCGAGAACCTCTCCCCAAAGCACAAATTCGCCTGGCGTACCTTCACCGGAAAAGTCCCCTGCGACCACGAAGGCTGGACCGAACTCGTTGTTCGCTGTTGGGACAATAGTCTGAACACCCAACCAATGGAGGTTCGGCATAGTTGGAATTGGAGCTTGCATGTGACTAGTAGCTGTCATCGAGTCAAGATTTACAGTGTGAATGCCAAGAGGGAGGCCACGAGGAAGAGACTGAGGGAGTTCGATGAGCATGGGCAGGGGTTTACGCCTATTACTAGACCGACGGAGTTTGTGCCCATGAGTCTGAAGGAGTATGAGAAGGAAGTTTCAAATGTTGAGCCGAGAGATGTTGATGACTAGATTATACCATCGATCTAGAATTCAAGTCACTCAAATCTAAGCTTGGCTATGATATGCTAGTCTAGGAGCAGATAGTGCTTTCACATTCCATCCACAACAATCGATCTTCATCAACTCGAATATTTAACCGAGTGATTTTGAAACTGGTCACATATTTTGTGTGCTATCAGTGAGAAGCGAACACTTTGAAATACCTCCCTACCCACCGGGCGAATCGTTCAGCAAGCAGGCAGCCTGTCCAGCCTGTCCAGCCCAACCAGCTCTCTGGCTGCAATGCAGCGCAGCAAGGCAGTCCAGTATTTAGGCGACAAAGGCAAGAATTGCTGACATGAGTTTTTAGTTGCTCACAATTCAGCCATAAAAGGCTGTCTATGACGCTCTTGACTCGTGTCGCACGCTGATAATAATCACGTCACTATTCGACTGTAGAGCTGGCGTTTCGGATATAAAGACAGCAGCGCCCGGCATTTGAGCGACCAATTGACACAGAAATATTTGTCAGTGACCCAAGAATGTCAGACGTGAGTACAAGTTAGCTGAAAAATATATTGAACTCCGTGTCGCTTACAATTTCAGTCAAACGAAACACCAGTTTGTACCCTCGCTGAGGGCAAGCCCGTCGAGGACCCAACCTCGTCCGTCGTCCTTCGCGGACCAAAGGTTCGAGGCGGCGGTCTCGCATTGTTGGCAGACACGCAATTGATCGAGACGCTTGCTCACTTCCCACGCTTGCCCGTCTGTCTACCGTCGCTGGTGAGAAGGGATCTTCCAACACCCTCCGTGACATCAGAGGCTTCGCCCTCAAGATGAAGACCGAGGAAGAGAACTGGGATTTTGTCGGGAAGGACTTGCCGGTTTTCTTCATTCGTGATCCAGAAAAGGTCCCTTCGCTCAACAGGTCTCACAAACGCCACCCGCAGACTGCTGTCGCTGATGCGAGCATGTTCTGGGACTTTCACAACAACAATCAAGAAGGTGCTCACTGTCTGATGCAACTTTTCGGACCTCGCGGGGTACCACAGTCCCTCAAAAATGTGAATGGTTTTGGAAACCATACGTTCAAGTTTGGCAAACCCGAAGATGGATCTTACAAGTATGTCAAAATCCACTTCAAGCCTGACGATGGCATCAAGAATCTTTCACAAGAGGATGCCATTCGTGTTGCAGGCGAAGAGCCGGATTATCATGTAAAAGATCTGTACAACTCTATTGAGAGAGGTGAGTATCCGACGTGGACCATGTATCTTCAGGTCATGGATCCCAAAGAGGCGGAGACATACAAGTGGAACATCTTCGACATCACCAAAATCTGGCCTCACAAGGACTACCCTCTAATCCCCGTCGGAAAGCTTGTATTGAACAAGAACCCAGATAACCACTTCCATGATATCTAGCAAGCAGCTTTGTCGCCTTCGACGCTCATTCCTGGTATCGCTCCCTCAGCTGATATCATGCTACATGCGAGAATGTTTAGTTATCCTGATGCTGCACGCTATCGCGTTGGCCCAAACTACCAACAACTTCCATGCAATCGACCTCTGGAGGCCTACTCACCATATCAGAGAGACGGACCGATGCGTCTTGATGGGAACTATGGTTCAGACCCTGATCACGGTATGTGATCTTTGGTTGCTTGAGCCTGAAAGGAATAGCTAATATCTCCAGTTCGCTCCTCATTCCGCAAGGTCAAAAGTGGTCCCGCCGATGTCGCGTACAGCGAGTGGGTTGGCAGAGTCCAAGCCTACTCCTCCGACGTCGAAGACGAAAACTGGGAACAGCCTCGTAATTTGTGGAAGATCTTCAAGGATAATGGGAAAGATGAAGTCTTTCTGAACAACCTGTCTGGTCACGTCAACAAGGCACTTCCCGAAGTTCAGGAGACAACAGTTCGTAAGTTGCCAACATATTACAAGTGTTTGATGGAACTGAGCTAATAGAGTGACAGGTATGTGGGCTAATGTAGATGAAGAGATTCCAAAGAGGCTCGGAGAGAAGCTGAAGAATTTGACTGGGGATTTTGGCCATTCCAAAGCACCGCCGAGTCAGACTGTGTTGGCGTCGAGGCGCAAGTGATACGTCTTAAGAAAGACTGCCCAACTGATACAGGAATGCCCTGTTGAGGCTATGGCATCGCTTTGCTTCGAAATGTAGCCCTCTCTTACGGAGGCGGAGTTGCTTCTCTGATCTCAGGTCGCACCAAGTGTTGTGAAACACCATATTCTACGAAACTGGGCACATTTCTTGGGAGGGGGCCAACTGGGCTGAGGGCTGAATGCCTTACCAACCGTTCCGTGTAACCCATACACCCTAAGAATAGATGTAATCACCGCTGCCGAAGCTCTTTGCGCACCCACTTAACTGTATGTCCCTGCTGTGTCCCATGAACTGCCACGATTATATTTCGTCACTCTCGTATTCACATGCATGTCAGATCCAAAAGCGCCGAAGCTGAACCATCTGTTGAGTTGGGTATACAGTCCGTACGTATCAGCCCGAGCTGGCATCCTGGAAGCCACAACGCGTAGCCACTAGTGTGCCAAAAATTTCATTCAAAATCTCTTCTGGGTCTTGATCATACCCGCGCAACCTCTTCATCTCTTCGACCAGGCTGAGTTCGTTCAAAATGGAGATTGATTTCTCCCGTCCACCAGCATCCGACCAGAAAAAAGACCTCAGATCAGCATCAACCTGGTCTCCATCCGAAGGCAGCTCCATTCAGCACTCTCCGTTACTCCACTCTGTGGCTCCTTCGGCCTGGCAGGGCGCAACTACCAGCGAGACTAGTCTTCTGAGTCCCAATCAAGAGCCCGATGAAGCGATCACAGCTGTCAACTCTCACTGCTCCTCGACGTGGTCAAATATCCTCAGGAGCAGATGGTTAATGGTCGCATGTCTCGTCTTCGGTATCGCAGCAGCCATTGGCCACGACACGCTCAACAAGCTCCTTTCTGGTCAAGAAGCAAGGAATCAAATATGGTGGCTTCGGCTCGGGCAGTCACTAGCCTTTATCTCAAAAGCAAACTCTGCTATTGCAGTCTCTCTAGCTTACCAACAAATTGCCTGGACGTCCGTCGCTCATCGAAACTTCTCCGTACATGCCGTTGACTCGCTCTTTGGTGCAGCGCATAATGCCATTGAGCTCCTCAACATTGAGGCTTGGAAGAAGTCATGGTTCGTCATGCTTCTCGCTCTTTACATGTGGATATCGCCACTCGTGGTTATCTTCACCTCGGCGACACTGAGTGTCGACAGCCATGTGAATAGGACATGCCATAATGTCCGAACCCTCAACTTCAATCACGAGGCGAAGAAGAAGTGGACTCATAGGAGAAAGGCAGAGGGTGATGAGATACTGCAAGGTGGCAGAGTATCATGGTACAACGATACCCTGCCAGATGAGGATGGCCCTGATGTTTTTGACTTTTGGATCAGTCCAAGTGCATACCTTGACGAGATTGCATCCCGAGTTCTAACAGGGGGGCAGGCACTGCAACGAGACGAAGTCGCTGACGAAATCTGTGGGGAAGGATGGGATTGCTCAACCGTTATACACTTCACTGGACCAGGATATCGGTGTGAGCAACTCGCTAACGGCACCAACTCGACGGTCAAGCCGTTCAACGGCAGGGATGCCCCGTTCAACATGAGCAGGATGATCCCCGATGGTTGGAATACTTACAATTGTGTTGCCGATGAGGGAGACTACGCCGAACGCCAGATTGAGCATGAGAAATACTTCAATCGTCCAATGCAGACACTTCCGTTCCCCAAGAATCTTGGCGCTTTCAGATCAGAGCCCATCATATGGCTAGGCTACGTCACAGTCGACGACGTATTGGTCAGGCACGCTGAAAATAGTAGCCAAAAAGGATGGGACACAGACTTCACCCCCATAATTTCAGCTTGCGAGCACTGGGAAGTCGATTATACAGTCAATCTGACATACACGCGGGGTTTCCAGTCGTACAACGTTACGCATCGGGATTATCTGCGCAAGGTCATCAATACGACATACGTGGACGACTCAGCTGACGACGGAACGTTGGACAAGACTGTCGCGGAACCACAGGAGAACTACGTGTATCCCAAAGATTGGAGGAACTATCAACGCATTGCAGCGTTTCACTCGCTGGGGCTGAAGTTACGACAATTACTGCATGGGGGCTTGTCGCTTCCCGATAACGGAATAGGTAGCGAGATCGTGACGTCGAAGTTGGTTGGGCGACATGAGCTTCTGCCTGTCCCTGATTTCGAGAAGCAGATACAGAGGCTGTATGAGAATTTGCTTATTTCGTTGCTGTCGGACGCACAGCTGCTTATGGTGTCATGGGCGGCGAACCCGAATGAACCGTCTGGAACACGGCCTATGGAGAATGGGACTGCGTATCCTTGCATCAGAAGAACGACGGCGGGGTACTTCTTTTATCAGCGACAGATCCTTGTCAGTGTATATGCTGTTTCATTCGTCATTGTAGGTGTTGGTGTACTGTATGGGATGAAAGCTATGAGGCGTGACAGAGTCGAGGAGTTGCGGGAGGTTACTTTCTCGTCAATTGCAGTCGCGACGAGGAGCGTGAACCTGAAAGCTTGTAGGCAAAATCACAGAATCAGAGCTTGGCTTGTTGAGGACGAGCACGAGGGTAGAGTATATGAGTTTAGGTATGAGGGAGACAAGGAACATAAGAGCAGTGCTGAGGTCATGGGGGATGCCTGATATTATGTACCCCGTCAGCCACATGCATCGAAGAACATTGCTTGAGGTCGGGACCTAACAAATAGCGGCCAGAGGGATGAACCAATAGACTGAAGTGAACGTTGCATTTGATGGTATATCTATAGCGAGACTAGTCTCTCAATAACTTATTTGCCCGATGCTTAATCTCCTTGCTAAACCGAAAGTTGATCGGACTCTCACTCCCAACAAACACAAACCCATCATACAGCGCACATCCCACCACAGACCCTATCAACGTCGCTGCCCAAGGCCCGTAGAACCACCATCCGCTGTGAAACACATTTGACTCGCGATATCCAACCGCATACGCGACAACTCTCGGTCCAAAGTCAGAAGCAGGATTCAGCGCTGATCCAATGTTGTAGCCGAGGGTGAACTTCAGGGTCGTCACCAGGAAGCCGAGCACCAGAGCATGCATGCCAGCGCCGGGTGGGTTGTTCTGATCATCACCTAGTGCGAAGACTGCGATCATCATGATGGCGCTGCCGACGACTTGGTTGAAGAAGGCAGATTGGAGAGAAACCCATTCTCGAGGTGTTGAGAAGAATGTTTTTGACATGCCGTCCATTTCGGGATCGACGTAGTGGATTGAGTCAGCGTATATTCCGTACGCGAGTGCTCCAGCGACTATGCTGGCGATGAATTGGGCAAGGATGTAGATAAAACACTGCCGCCATGGGAAACCACGGAATAGCGACAGAGAGATGGAAATGGCTGGGTTCATATGTGCGCCTGAGACGCCACCGCCGAGGTAGATGCCAAACATCCATGCGAAGCCCCATGCCCAACAAGAAGTCTCATAAGTTCCATAAGGCTGTGACTGCTTTGCCGAGAGATTTACAGACAGAGTAGCAGTGAGACCTAGGAAGATGGCGACAGAAGTCGCAAGGAATTCAGCAAGTGGCTCAGGATGCTTCGCTCGTATCCTAGCCCACCAGTTCCTCATCTCATTCGGATCCGTCTCACCAGCTTCAACCTCTGGCTTCTCCTGCTGACCCAAAGGTTCACTGTCGATTTTATAATCAGGGTGATTGTTGCTCTGTTGATGAGAAGCAACTTTTGATGCAGGGTCGCGATGTAAAGGAGTTGCTGCTGGCGTTGCTTCACCAGGGACGTAGTCAAATACCGGCTGCCCTGCATCGTTGCGCTTCTCATTGTGCGCAACTCCAGCTGCTGTAGTTCGACTCTGCTGGTTCTGCATGTCGCGCGATGCGATACTGGTTTGAGTGTGCATTCGGTATGGTTGGCCTGAAGTGGTACGCGAGGCGTATCCTGCGGGTGTATCTTCGGAGTCCTCCTTGACAATGGCCATTTCTTCGTCAACTCTTCCATCTGGTCTGATCGGTTTCACCACTTTGCGACGAACGCGGTGGGGAAGTGGTTTCCCAAGACTGAAGATTGGCTTCTTGCCTGCCTCGCCGAACCAAGGGTTCTCCTCATAGTAGCCCTCTTCGGCAGGGGCATATGCATGATATTGGGATGCATGTTGTTGTACTGTAGGGCGCGCTGTATTGTACCCACTGGACATTCTCGTGAAACGCCTTGAGCTAATTGGTCGCTTGCTCATTCGCGACATGAAGCTGGATGGTAATCCATGGAGTCCACGCCGTCTTGAGTGTGTCGACTTTGCACGATCAGGTTGTCCCGTCTCTCGGTCCGAGATGGTGCTGGGGATTCTGCTTGCGACGTTCCCAAGATGAACCTGTCCCGGCGTTGAGGGCGTCGCGGGTTTCGAAAAATAATCATGATTCTGTTCTTGGTGACCAGTCATTGTAGGCGCTCAAAGTCGGTAGATTCTTGCTCACGTCCATTGCAAAACCCGGATTCAGAACTTTTATATGATTCAGACACAAGTGAAGCAACTGTTATAATAATGACGTTTGTCCTCCACTCTAACGTCAACCGGAGGTTTCTCTCCAAGTGTGGACTCTTGAGCCGCACGGTTTCGCCGCTAAAGTCTCTGAATTGCGGGCCTGTCAACCGCTTAAATTGGGTCGCGATCTCAAGATCGAGGGATGTTGCCCCTTTGAGGGTGTGATATTCCTGAATCTTTCTGTTCTGGGAACCATGGTTGGCCGAATGAGGTGCTCAATGCTACGTAGTCCTGACTCTTCCTTGGAGGCAAGCATGAAAAGTCGGATTGTCCCTGGTCAGAATTCCTGAGATAAGGGTTTATATGGATCGTTTTATTGCCTTGCTGCGTGTTTCTGAGTCGTTTTCTCGAATATTCTTGTTTTGTATGCTTGGCTTCTCACTGCATACTGTAATTATTCTTGGCGTCATTCATCATCATAACTAGCATTCCTAGTATCGGGCCACGAGACAGACAATTGTATCA